CTTCTTGTCGAGTTGCTGATGGGTCTCGGGGCTTGGGTCATTCTGCCGGAATTGACGGCAAACACCGTGGAGCCAACACCGCCGCTGACTGAGATGACCAATATCGAGGCGCTCGGTTCGGTGCTCTACACCAAGTACATCTATTTCTTCCAGGTCGCCGGTTTGATCCTGCTGGTGGCCATGATTGGCGCGATCGTACTGACACTGCGCCACAAGCCGAATGTCAAACGTCAGGACATTCCGACCCAGGTTGGCCGCACACGCGAAGCCGCTGTCGAGGTCCGGAAGGTCGAAACGGGCAAGGGTATCTGACGCGAAACGTTCGCGTCGTTCGATATGTCCTGCAACCGGCACGCTCCTCCGTGCGGTTCAGGGTTGGGGTAAATGAGGGGAGCACGGCGAGGCGCCCATGGAAATCGGTCTGTCCGCACTATCTGTCGGTCCGCCGGCGATCCTGTTCGTGATCGGGATTTCGGTGGTCTTTCTGACAGGAAAATGGGATTGTCCTCTTGATGTCGGTTGAAGCCTGTTGCTGCTCGCTGTGACATCACTTCGTCGCCTGTTCGTCGTTCCTCGGCGATCTGATCGGCAGTTGTTCACCATGCTCTTTTTGACCGCGCGCCGCTGCCGAAGCCTGCGATCGATTGCAATCCTGTGTGTTCTTCCACCGGAACCCGCGGCTCCCATCGCGTAAAACAGCCCATGCGAAGTTCGCACACGCATGCGCAGACCGTTGCAGGGCAATGGACTCCAGGCAAAGATCCAGACCGTCCTGCCACACGTCCTTGCTGCTAGCCTCTCTCGGGGAAAGCCATAGAAATACGATGAAACCAGCTCTTCAGTTGCAGACTGTTCCCTCCATAACATGGCGCCACATGAGGAAGGGCAGCCCTGTCCGTTCCATCACGAGACATGAGACTGCTGTGTTGTCGGGTAGCACCGCGGAGCACAGCTGCATCTCGAACTCAGGCAGGGTTTCCTCGCTACATCTGATTCGATGCGTACCACGCACCCAAACGTGGCTTGCGCACCGCTTCTCCTTACTTCTTACTTGGAAACATCGACAAGCGCTAGCCCGTTCTAGGTCCTTGAAAGGCAATGCTGACAGCAACATCGAAACTGACTTAAGACAATCGCCGCATGTGCGGTCGCCGAATTCTAGTGTCAAGAGGCTTCGTGCACATGCAGCCAACTCCTTGCCATCGTCCTATCCGCCTATGTTGCAGCGTCGCAGTGCAAGCCCCGACATGAAAGCCCAGGCTCGGGCAACAGACATGCCACCCAGTGGTGAGCAGACGGCCCGGTGTCACTTCTTGCGAGTGGCAAGAATGCTTTGCTCGACAAGAGCTGCAGATCGAAGCGCGCATGGCCGAGATTTTTGCCGAGGCTGCTCAAGCAAGCCGTCTAAGCTAGAGGCTTCCTTCTGATTCTTATGTGCAGTGCATGAGGAAATGCAGCGACTGACATTTTCAGACTTTCCGGGGAGCCCTCGACGGAACCCTATTGGCAAAGGCAAAATGGAGTCAAGATATCCGTCGAACGTTTGGAACGCTCGACCGCCGACATCTCATGTGAAGCTGAGGAGACGGCGTGAGCGCACAACAGTCTCGGCCCACTTCTATCGTCGCATGGCATTGATCCTCCGCGCAGTCAGCTCAAGCTTTGGCTCTGCTCAACGCAAGATAGTGCTTGGAAGCCTCGCCTACTTCTTGTCAAACAAGGTGGCTCGGGCAATTCCGACCATGCACTGCTCGGAGATCACCTCTGCACGGCGTTTACTCGATGTCGGAGCTACCGAATCTCTGGAATCTCCAGAATGAAAAGGCAAATTGGCCCACAATCCTCCAGGAGGACTCTGTTGCAAGACCCACAGGAAAGAGATCTGCTGCTCCAGCTCGACATTGCTGCCACACAGCGGCCCATCAAGATTAGACAGCTGTGTTGGCATGAACCCTATGCCAACTTTAACAACTGGACAGGCTGCTGCACGCAAGCATCGGGTTGCTATTGTGCTAGCAACGCAAATTATGCTTGAGGTAGCCATGCCATGCCTGAAGATGCTCTGCTTCGGGTGCGGCACGTGCCATCGCGTATTGCAGAAGCTTGCCGAGTGAATCCCCTGCGGCCTTCCAGAATGCCACGTGCATGCCACAGCCAGTGCCAGAATCGAATCAAGATGCTTGCCGGAATTGGGGCCGTCGAATTCTAGAGTGAAGAGGCACCATGCATGCACAGCCGTCCCGGCCAACATCTATGAATCGAGCTCCAGTAGCTGACCTTTTGCCATCACCAGAACCAGCTAAAAACACTGAATGGAGGTGTCTCATCGCTGTCTGCAATGCCGATCTCAGGCCAGAACATTCAGAGATAAGGCGAGCAGGGAATAGAGTTAGTGCCGTCGCCGGAATCGGGTTCGCCGACATCCGAGGTGAAGCGATTTGCATGCCCAGACTTTCCGGTGCACTGCTACATTTGTCCCGCTGAAGCAGCCGACTTTTCTGCCGCAGTCAGAACTTCTCAGCAAGCCCTTCTCTGCCAGCCAGGAAATCGACGAACGCGACGCACTGTTGTCAGCAAGCCGGAGCGTGTCCGGGAAGAGAAAACTGGCAAGGACACTCTGCTCGACGAGAACCGCCCGACTCAGCACACAAGGCCGAAAGGTAAGACCAATCGCTGCTTACGCATGGGCTCCGCGGCGAATCCTATGCACGAGTGTCGGAGAATTACTGAGGAGGTTTCTCGCACAATGCCGGTTTCACTTGAGCGCGGCATCTTCTTGTCACATACACGGTAGCCTGTGTCTGCGACACCAAATCACCCTCCTCTGCCCGGCAGCACTCTGTCTTCCAAATCCGAAACTGCTGCTGGGCGTTGGCAGGCGCAAGTCTTCTTATGTTGTGACTCGAAACTGGACATGCAAGCGTTTCTAGAGCGCAGCGTCTGAATGGGTCGCTGGCACGACTCTATCAAGACCAGGCCGGTCACGCCACACTCCCAACAAGACACAAACCACTGCAGGTTCCCGGTTGCAAACGATTCATCGGCAAGGCCCTTGCAAACCTACAATGTGATGCCAGGAAGCTGTCCGACATTGCAAGGACATATCACTGTCAAGCAGTCGCCTGGCCAAGTTGAAGTTACGGAACCTTCCTTGCATGCAGATCTGGGAACACAAACGGTAAAGTAAACGGCACCGCAGAGTTGCATCTCGAACTCAGGCAGGGTTTCCCCGCTACATCTGGTTCGATGCATCGTCAAACCATGTAACCGAACTTGGCTTGAGCACCTCTTCTCCTTACTTCTTACTTGGAAACATCGACAAGCGCTAGCCCGTTCTAGGTCCTTGAAAGGCAATGCTGACAGCAACACCGAAACTGACTTAAGACAATCGCCGCATGTGCGGTCGCCGAACTCTAGTGTCAAGAGGCTTCGTGCACACGCAGCCAACTCCTTGCCATCGTCCTATCCGCCTATGTTGCAGTGTCGCAGTGCAAGCCCCGACATGAAAGCCCAGGCTCGGGCAACAGACATGCCACCCAGTGGTGAGCAGACGGCCCGGTGTCACTTCTTGCGAGTGGCAAGAATGCTTTGCTCGACAAGAGCTGCAGATCGAAGCGCGCATGGCCGAGATTCTTGCCGAGGCTGCTCAAGCAAGCCGTCTAAGCTAGAGGCTTCCTTCTTATGTGCAGTGCATGAGGAAATGCAGCGACTGACATTTTCAGACTTTCCGGGGAGCCCTCGACGGAACCCTATTGGCAAAGGCAAAATGGAGTCAAGATATTCGTCGAACGTTTGGAACGCTCGGCCGCCGACATCTCATGTGAAGCTGAGGAGACGGCGTGAGCGCACAACAGTCTCGGCCCACTTCTATCGTCGCATGGCATTGATCCTCCAACTGCAGCACACGGCCGCCAACCGTGGCTCTGGGGTGTGTGGGTGTGTGGGTGTGCGGGTGTGCGTGTGTGGGGGTGTGTGGGTGTGGGGGTGTGTGTGGGTGTCTACAAGCCCTGCGCAGAAGGCTAAGCCATGCGAGGCTGCTAGTGAGAATCGCAGTCGGCTCGACAAGCACCGCACAGCGAAGCCTGCGGGGCGCCGTCTAAGCTAGAGGCTTCCTTCTTATGTGCAGTGCATGAGGAAATGCAGCGACTGACATTTTCAGACTTTCCGGGGAGCCCTCGACGGAACCCTTTTGGTTCTTGCGAGTGGCAAGAATGCTTTGCTCGACAAGAGCTGCAGATCGAAGCGCGCATGGCCGAGATTCTTGCCGAGGCTGCTCAAGCAAGCCGTCTAAGCTAGAGGCTTCCTTCTTATGTGCAGTGCATGAGGAAATGCAGCGACTGACATTTTCAGACTTTCCGGGGAGCCCTCGACGGAACCCTATTGGCAAAGGCAAAATGGAGTCAAGATATTCGTCGAACGTTTGGAACGCTCGGCCGCCGACATCTCATGTGAAGCTGAGGAGACGGCGTGAGCGCACAACAGTCTCGGCCCACTTCTATCGTCGCATGGCATTGATCCTCCGCGCAGTCAGCTCAAGCTTTGGCTCTGCTCAACGCAAGATAGTGCTTGGAAGCCTCGCCTACTTCTTGTCAAACAAGGTGGCTCGGGCAATTCCGACCATGCACTGCTCGGAGATCACCTCTGCACGGCGTTTACTCGATGTCGGAGCCACCGAATCTCTGGAATCTCCAGAATGAAAAGGCAAATTGGCCCACAATCCTCCAGGAGGACTCTGTTGCAAGACCCACAGGAAAGAGATCTGCTGCTCCAGCTCGACATTGCTGCCACACAGCTGCCCATCCAGATCAGAAAGTTGTGTTGGCATGAACCCTATGCCAACTTTAACAACTGGACAGGCCGCTGCACGCAAGCATCGGGTTGCTATTGTGCTAGCAACGCAAATTATGCTTGAGGTAGCCATGCCATGCCTGAATATGCTCTGCTTCGGGTGCGGCACGTGCCATCGCCTATTGCGCAAGCTCGCCGAGTGAATCCCCTGCGTCCTTCCAGAATGCCACGTGCATGCCACAGCCAGTGCCAGAATCGAATCAAGATGCTTGCCGGAATTGGGGCCGTCGAATTCTAGAGTGAAGAGGCACCATGCATGCACAGCCGTCCCGGCCAACATCTATGAATCGAGCTCCAGTGGCTGACCTTTTGCCATCACCAGAACCAGCTATATACACTGAATGGAGGTGTCTCATCGCTGTCTGCAATGCCGATCTCAGGCCAGAAAATTCAGAGATAAGGCGAGCAGGGAATAGAGTTAGTGCCGTCGCCGGAATCGGGTTCGCCGACATCCGAGGTGAAGC